AAAAATATTTTTATAACAAAGATGATATAAAATTGAATAAAATATTTATTAATTTTTTCAATTATGTTAAACTTTTGATAATTTATTTAATGGCAAGAAAGTACAATTTATAAATAATCTATCTTTTTTTTTTTAAATAAAAAAATGGCATTTAAGTATTTTTTAATGCAAATTCAATCATAATGAAATGGATAACAAATTATAGAATGTAGCCAGAAGTTTTACAAGGAAACTTGTTATTCTAGATTAAAATTACATGAGATTTTTCTCCGTGTTCGACGTAAGTTTTCTATAAATAGATTTATTTTTCATGGCGGAGTTTGACACGAAGTTTCATCTGGAATGCTGAGGGTATAGACATGCTTTGCATTCAGGCTTATAGGTTGGAAAATATTACTCCAATTTTTTATTTATAGAAAGGCTTAGTGATTAAAATACATTGAAACAGATACGTGAGAAACTGCTAAAGAGGTTTTACAAATAAAATAAAAATCATTTTTTCTATTTTATGAGATTTCGTGGAAAAATTAACTGCCCACTTGTTGCTAACCATTCTTCAATTTTCACAAGATGCAGTAAACCGTGATAGATGATTTTGATAATTAACACGTTATCGATAAATCTATTTTCAAAGCCAGAGAAAATTGAATAGAAAAATATATTGTTTATCATGTCAATATTCCGGTAATATTATTTTCATTTCGCATAAGTAAAGGCAATTAATCAAAGTTCACTTTCAACATTAGCCTAAAAACATTTAGATTCTGATTCATACTTTATTTTACGCAATAATCTGGATCTTAACCCCAGGCTTCTTTCAATACTCTGCTTTGCCCTTATAAAAATCTTATCATCTGGAAATCTTTGCTAAATTCTTTAGCTTAGGGACCATCCAAGTGAATAATAAGAATGTTTCATAATTCAAATGTGAATTATTCTCCTGACATTTTGAAGATGTAAAAAATGTTTAATGAAGATCATGAAAAATGAATGATTGTACTTGGTGATAAATAAACATCAATGTAAAGCAGAAAATTATAAATGATAAACACAACCAAGTATTTATTTTTCATCAGCAAATAAATTACTGATAATCTATTTTATAATTTTCATGCTTAATTTTGACTGCTTAGTACAAGATAATTTCCATGGAAAATGCATTCATCCCAAGAAAATCAGCTCAGTAAAAATTTCTGCTTTGTAAATACTTCTACTAAGCGATGCTCCCTGCTAGTAAAAAAAAATGATCTCGATACCATTTCACATAATAAATTACATCAGTTTAAGGAAGTACGACCTTCGAAATATGTTAACTTTTCAACTGTCAATATTTGACAAAAGATGACTAAAAGATATTGTGCATTCCGCAATTTTTCAAACTCATTTCTAAGCGAGTCTTCAAAGGCTAAGTTTGTCAGAGGTGTGATGTGCCCTTGAAGATTTGCCTGAAAGGGTGCAATTCAACGAGTTAGATGAGCATGACCAGAGATTTAAACTCGGCCTTGAGCAAATATAAGGTATGCAATAGTTTGAATTTATGCAAAGATCAGTACGACAATAGAAATAATGGTAAAGAAACTAAAGTGTAGCAAAACTAATTGGTATTGTTATATTGTAACAATGTGACATCACCTTTGCTCCAATACTCCTGGAACTAAACCCGTTGAAAATGGTTCAGTCTAGTGGGTTTCAACCCTATATTTGTTTATTTAGTGCATTTGTCATTTATGAATGCCAAAACCTACAGTATTTGGAAAAAAGTATATTTATTTAAACAAAAAAAATTATTTTAAAGTTAAATAAAATGGAGTTGACTCTAATAATTTTAATTATTATAACAATAGTTTTGGATGAGTGTGAAAAATAATTAAAGCTAATTTTTGATGAATAAGAGTCATTTCTATAACGAATTGATAATTTTGTCAGGAACAAATAAATATTTCTTAAAAAATAGTGAATGAGCTGGCTTGTTAAAAATTTTTTATACTCATGCAATATTTCATTGAAACTAGAATGATATTAAGAACCCACACGAAAAAATGTTTTCTTTTTTTGAAAACAATTTAATGAGTCTACACAAAAAGCGAGTAAGTAATTGGACAATCGGACAATAGTAAATAAAGTAGGTTTAAGCACTATACAGATTAACCATTTAGGAGTCAGATTTCGAACAACAAAGTACTGTTAGAACGACGAATAAGACGGTCCTCAATGCGAACGATATGATGAAGAACAGAAGAGTTAACCGCCACTCTTCCCCTCGTCTTACAATGCGACCTGATTTATGGCCCGAACGCACATACATAGAGTTACACACGATATCATAATACCATTAATTCTTCGTCAAATTCCCCGCTGACTGAATCATACCGGTCCAACACAGTAAATCACGCTGAGACTAATGCACATGCTGGCCGCGTGCGGATCGAATCGAGTAAAACAAGAAGTATTTCTTGTCTTTTTATCTTAGTAAACCATAGAGTCAGGTGGATTAAATTCACGGAAACTATCAGTTAGTCATCCGTAAATCTCTCTTATGTGTGTCTCCGCATTTTCAACTAAACTGCTATTACTCCAGTTTAACGAGCTGCTATTTAAATATCATTTTTGACTGATCTCTTTCATATAAATTATTTTGCATTATTCAACACAGTTTATATCCTCGTTATTTGGTATTAAGATGCCTTTTGCAGAAAAACATATATGTGGAGTGTTGATATACATCAAGTATCGTTAATTAGATTATACATTCTGAAATGATAATTAAAGTTATGTTTAATGTAACACCAATTAGCGTTACAACATGTTTAATGAAAAGTTAATTGTTATTCTGAGCTTATAAAATGGGATAAAATTAATCGAGTAAATGAAAAAGTTATATAATTATATTAATCTTATTGTTATGGAATAGAAAAAAATTTAATAAGCAAGAAAATAATTTAATTGTTGAGAATAAAAAATTATTTTAAAAATCAAGGATTATGTTTTCTTTTATGATAAAAGTTAGTTCATTTGACTGGGAAATTAAGTTTTAGAATTAGTTTAAATAGGAAAAAAAATACTGGATTTTAAAAATAGATACTTGGGTGGAATTAATAATATATTATCTCATTATTAGCAAATATTAATACTTGTGAGGCAGGTAAATTATTAACATAATTAGGTATGATACTAGGTAACTCAGTATGTAAATAATACGATACTTAACTAATAAGGTTTTTATTAAAAAATTATAGGTTGTTATGAGGTCATTTATAAAATATTCAGGTATGAAATTAATTAAATAATTAATTTATTCATGGCTTTCATTTTTAAATGAATATAATAATAAACAATTTGAAAATTTGTTGCAGAAAAATATAATTGTCTTGTGAGTGAAAGCAAAGGATAACAGAGTGCACCTAATATTTAGGTAGAAAATAACAGTTATGTATTTCCTGATGAATTATGATTTTAATTGCCTTTAATTGGTATTAATTAGTGTTATTAAAATGCTTCCGATGATTATAGCTGCATGTTGGGAAAGTAAAAATCAAAGAGATAATAAAATATTAATTTATTAGATTGAGTAGGAAGTAAGCTTTTAACTGAAATATTTAAATTGTACGGTTTTTAATACGATTAGCTGCTTTGTGATTCTGCTCAGTCAAATATTATTATCACACAAAGATAATAATGTAAAAAATGAAAATTTCGCATTTTTACTACTTGGGGCATCAGTTTTCATATAGGATAGGAGAAGAATGTCAGAAAACAACGAGATAAACGAGAACTTGTTTCAGTGGCTGATCTCGTGATTTATCCCTAACCAACTCGTTGAAGCCTAATTTTACGAGGTTATCCAGTGAAAAATGTGGCCTCAGCGGACTTTAGAGTATAGAATTTATAATTTTCTTTTTTTTATTAATTATTATTATTAGTATTCATCCCATAAATTCCAACATCAAACGATGTTTTTGGACAAACATAAGTCTCTTCACATTTCTCAGTTTATATACAAGGTGAAGTTATACTTTGATATTTTTTTTCTAGTTGAAAACATCATATGTATCATTATTCTTTCTAATCTAACCACTTCTACAAATCAGTGGAGATTTTTTTCTAATTATTTAGATGTTTGAGTTTAACAAATTTATCTGTTCAATAAAGCAAAAAATAATTTGCAATTATTTTGAGATGATGGTTTAATTTTATTGGGTGTTAGAGAATCCAAGAACACCATTATGTATTTTTTCACATCATTATATAAAAATTGTTTTAAAAATGCAAGTAATCATTGAAAAATAGTTTTAAATTTTTTATATCATTTTGTTGATATGATTTGGTATTAATAAGTAATTTTGTTGTAAGTTTGATGCAGTGGAAATAATTACAACTCAAAATATTTATTAAAGTGATAGAAAATATTTTTCAAAATGACAATGAGCCTGAAGAATTCCAAAAGTAATTAACAGCAAGTTCCAATTGTATTTAAACTTTTTGATGTCCTAAATTGAATCCAGACTTCAATAAATTAATTGAAACAAATGGATTCTTATTTCAATAGTTTGGTTACATTGTTATAACAAGAATAATGCAAAAACCTATTAATCTTAGCTTGTAATCATTGATTTCATCAAACCTAGATGTATATATATTTTAGCACAAAAAGTTAAAGATAGAAACCTACATAACAAACGCTATTATTAAACAGTATGAAGGGATTGTCAGACTTCTTTTTATTCTGACTGATGAATAAACCGTGCTCTCAACGAAAACTCATAAATGACCACCTCACGCGAGATCTCTGACCTTCCGTTCACATCAACTAAAGAAGTGATGATAGCCTCGTCTCTTCTATCAAGCATTAACACTATTCTCATACATATATTCAGTCGCGATTCTTTTTAATTCTCACATGTGAGAGAGTATATCTTCTTTTTATTCCATTATTGCTTCACTGAGTATATTAGCTATTGTCTAAATTTGTAGCTTAATGAAATAAAAAATATTCTACTCACTTTGTCCGATGTGAACCCTCTTCATCCATGGATAAATCTGGGGAGGATTGCCAGAACTGGAATTGGCTTTATTGGATGAGTTATTGCCCGTACTAGAAGTGCTGGACGTTGAAGAAGCTGGAGATGATGCTGAAGATGCTGTCGTGAGAGTAGCACTGCCTTCGGCGATTCCTCTAGAACTACCACTGGGCGGTGATGATGCTGATGCTGCAACTGACGGCCTGGAGGAGCTACCAGGTGGTGATGTTAAACTGGTTCCAGATTTACTAGTTCCAGCTAATGGTGTTGGACTATTTCGCGATGTCGATGTAGTCAAATCCTGTGGAGAAGCTACACTAGTCGAGGATGTTGAATCGGCATATTTGCAGCTTGATGTTGATGGTGTCGATGTTGCTGCACTTTGCAGAAGCGGTGCTGTGGGGTCTGGGTGAATCTGTTGTTGAGGATGATGCTGTGGATGGTGTTGTGACTGCGGAGCATGCAAACTGTGATGCTGTGAGGCTGATGCTGCATTTAACCTTGGTTGAGGTTGAAGCTGAGTATAGTCAATCATCCCCGATGGTGGTGCATGTTGTAATCCTCCTGCTGGTGTTGCATAAGGATGTTGAGGATAGTGCTGCTGAGGTGAATAGCATGGAGTTGGATAACCGGTTGTTGCTGCATTGGGGTTGTAATAATCATTACCGGCGGGAGAAGCAGCTTGAAGTGTATCACTTGGAGAATTTGGTGTCGGCCGTGGCGGTTGTTGTTGAGTTTGTTGGCTTCCGTAGCATGATGCTAAAGAATTCACGAACTGATAGGAGCTCATTGTTAGAGCCAAACAAGTCGACCGCTTTACGTTCTTCGCTTAAATACGAAGACAACGGTGACGCGCGTTATCACACGAAAGTTTCTTAAATTCACTTCAATTTTCACGTCATCTGCACTTGTATAATCCCTGATATCAAGTAGAATGATTTCTCTAAATCTTGGATCTAACCATTTTTATAATTACACCAACAATAATGACTTCGCAATTAGCGATTATTTAGAATCACGTGTAGATAACAGCATGTCACTCGTGTATCATCACCACGCCAAGTTAGCACCTTTTTTTTATTTTTCCACAGTTCCTCTTCTCAAGATGAAAATAATAAAAATCGCAAAATATTATAGATGAACGGTTGACTTAAAGCAGTAGTAATGATTCGATAATGAATGAGGGGGAGGGTCACGCCAACTAATAGAGAGGCAAGCAACCGCCACACGAGAGACGAGTTGCTTTACGACCGCCACGTGGGTCGAGGGCTATAAAACTGTCTTCCGTTTCTTTACGACCTTACTGGGCGCAATTACCCACAGGGAACTCAAAGACCTGACACGTTATTGTTGTTCTTACGACTACTGTCTGGTAGGTGTAAACGCGAGCTGTACCCCATTGAGGAACAGGACACGATTCCTTTCAAAGTTCTTCAGCTCCTTCAAAATATCATCCACATGATAAATAAAATAACCACAAGTAATAAATACAAATAAACCAGTGTAAATTATCCGAAAAAATATGAAATAATTGAAAATTCACTATGACCACGGGGGTTACGTTGAAATTCGTTGGATCAAACACTTTTACAAGATAGTAACTAAGAAATAAAAAATAATGATAAAGCTTGTCTGACACTAGCAGGTCTCACTGAGAGTGTAGCACCACTCGCCTTTGGGTACGGTAAGAAAGTAGAGGTGTAGAGACTGCTGCCGAGACGAGCCTGCCCATGTGCTGCCTCTCTCGTGCAGTTGCGTGCGCGGAGGGAGGTGGTATCGTACTGAACCGCGATCCTCGTAGTCGGTGCGGTAGTTGTCACGTGCCCGCGCTGCGTGTCAGAAGAGCGGACCAATCCCCGTCGTTCGTCAAACCTTGATTGGTCTTTCTCTTTCTCTCTCTATGAACAGTATTCCATCTCTTTCTACCTTGCTAACGCCGTCGCCGTAGCTGATTCTTTAACCCTGTTTTCCCGATCTATCGTGTTACTTGTCACGACAAGGGTTGCGAGTAGGAGAGTCGAAAGAGAAAGAGAAAATAAGTATGTAAAGGGATGAAGAATTTTAGAAGAAGAGAGATATGCCTTACTGACAGGATAGTGGGGAGTTGAGAAAGAGAGAGAAAGGAAAGTCCCTCTGGACTCTGATGGAAGGAACGGGGGAAGCAGGGAACTAATGGAGAGATATTCAAGAGCTTGTGGTATTAATAGTGGAGGGGGTTTCTCTTTCCTAGATTTTCTTTCTTCGTCATTCAGTCCCTCTCCACTCACGCGTTTTCTTTGCCTTTCTCTCTCTCTCTCTCTCTCTCGCTCTTTTCTTTTTCTTGGATTTTAACATTAAACTGAATATTCCTTCCGTCGCTCTTCTTTCAAGTTAGGGCACAACGTAGTCAACGCGTGCCCCTGTAGCTTTATTACTTCAATGAACCTTTGCTCTTTCAGAAAACACCAAGGGATAATATTGCTTGGGCTATAAATTAAGAAATCTATTGTTACCCAAGTTAAACATCCTTAAGGTACATGATTATTTCTCTATTCAATATTTGCTTGTATTTAGTTGGACTGATTCAAGTTGATACCACATAAATCTTTCAATAATCAATGACAACATTATTTTCAAATCTAATAATAACAATAATAAAAAAAAAAATATTCGTAAATATTTAAGTGCTTTATCAATGAAATAATTTAATTTTATTTCCAAGATAATTTTTGGTCAAAAAGATATTTTTAAAAGAATCATTAATTTGAAAATAATTATGATAATTACAGTTGGAGTACCAACTGATAATACAATGAATTATTAAATGGCTTCTAAACTAGTAGTTCATTGATAAAACGATTCTTCCTTATAGCAAAAGGTGTGATAAACAGGTTCACAATAGCATTAAACCAATACTATAATACACGCGAAATATGAGCAAGAGATTAAAAAGAGGTATAGAATGGGATAGAAAGAGGAGGAGAAAGTAAAGAAACGAAGAAAAGGAAAGAGAGGAGAAAAGACGCACATAAGTCAGCTAGACGGTTGCGGCTGACAGTTTTATGAGAGTTTGATAGGCTCTTGGTCTCTTTCTCCTTTCATATGGCAATAGTTACAATGGGAGTGAGATGAAGAGAATGCAGAAAGAAAAGTCAAAAAAGAAAGAAGACACTTCTTAGTCTATAATCGCAAATGAGTGAGTGAGAGAGAAATACGCACCACGCACGCTACTTTTCATTGTCCCATAAATTCAAACCTGTTGCCCAGTTTCAAGCGTAATAGTGAATAGGCAAAAGCGAGAGTGAGAACAAGTAAAAGGCCAAAATAAGTTTATGGTGAAAAAAGACAGAGTTTCAAGTGAATGATTCTATTTTGTGATTATAATTAGCAGTAAATTGTCGTAATTAATTTACTATTATCGTATTACGAAATTGTAATAAATTATGTTCATCTGTTTAACTCTGTTACTTGTTCTAGATATTTTATTGATATGTGGATAAGATGGGTGGTATTGTGTAGAAAAGAGCAACTGCTAATGTAAGATGTGTGATGCTTGTTTTGCTATGTATTATGTGTATACATAAACATGCACGATTTGATAAAAGATTAGTTAAATTAATGGTTGAACTCAACTTTAAAAGAGCATCCACTGACAAATGTACTCTATAGTTCTAGTACCGGAAATTATAATTATGCCTCAAATTAATAAAGTGTAAAAGAGAAAGGCGGTCAGAGAGGCGGAGCTTCCATTAATTTGGCTATAAACTATTTTTTAGAATCTGTTGAGAATACTTCTTTTTTTTTTTATTACTTTTCTGTAATATATTTTTTTAAGGATATTAGTGCTTTATTTTATCATCAACAAGTTTTTGTAAACATGTTTATGAGAGTCTGGAAAGATGATGTGTTTTTTTACAAGATATTTGAGTTAAAAAAATGAGGAATTATTTATGTTGATAATATATTTAAGTAATGAGGATTTTTTATGGGAGAGAAAATGGAGGAAAAATGCTGCAATTGTTCATAAGATGCATCGTATGTGAATGCGACGGTTTTGTGGGATTAGAAGCTAACCCGCCTCCACCAATCCTCTCCCTTCCAAAAATTTCCCCACTTTCGTTGTGACTATCCCCTCTCTTTACAGAAATTTTACCATGGAAAAATTAATTTTTATTCTTAATTCATCGCATTACTTATTACTTTATTTAAAAATTAATTATTATAAATTTATTTGCTTAACTAATTTATTTTTTGCATAATTCATAAATCATTTATTTTTTTTTTTAATTTATTTAATACAAATCTTTCGACTTGGCAATTTTATTTTTAATTTTTTATTATTTATAATTAATTGAGAAGAAAAAATACTCCAATACCTTTAGAACAATATAAAAAATATTTTCGGAGTAAATAAGAAACTTTTTAAAAAGAAAAAAAATTTTAATTAAGAATGAATAATTAAAAAATTATTTTAAAAATCTTATGAATGAGGGAAAAATTTTTGTACTACCTAACAAGGTATTTTTAATTGTTTCCCATGAATTACAAAAATTATCGATGGAAAATGTGTGAGATTTGTGAGTCACATGTATTTTTACCTTCAGCCTTATATGTCACTCTTTTGTCGCAGCACTGACCGACGGCAGCAGCGACCATTTCCATTAGAATTTCTAATAAAGTCGTCTTTGAAAGGTGTAAAAAACGTATCGAGACTTCCATGAATCACTCTGCAAAGCCTACCGCTTAGACACGTGTATCTGTTATGTTTTACCTTTAAGATTGCCACCCCAAACTTCTTCCTCTTTTTCAAGCTACTTTCATTCGGATATTATCCGTTCAATATTTATACTTATTATGTCCTTCACTTTTTACTGCGAAGTATATTCATTTTTTATCAAGGATCGTTACATGGCTTCTTTCATAAGAATCGTCTTAACAAATCGATCAGATGAATTATTCTCAACACTTAAAAATAGCAAGAAAATTATATCACTATTTTAATTGATCCGTTTAAATTAATTGATTGAATGATTTATTAATTAAATACTGATTTTTTATAATTACCTGAAGTATAAATTATCTCGTAAATATTTGACTGACACGTAAATGCTGTAAAAAAATAATTAATTTTTTATTCTTACTTTACAAACAGTGTATTTGAAAAAAATACATACAATTAATGTTTCACGCTGTTTGATCATAAATATTTATCACTTACAGGCTAATAAATTGCATTTGACATAATATCATAGAATAAATTGCTCTTTAATAAAAACTATCTCAAGGTTAATATCATTGGTTCTAAGAAAATTGTCTTCTCAACAAACATCAGTGGAGGTTTAATAAATTTTTTGCACATGATTTATTTAATTGGATACCAAGTTCACTTGTGTTACTTTATTATAAGATCGTTATTTATAAATTTAAAAAGCCTAAATTTTTTCAAGGATAAATTTATTTATATTCTTCAGAAATCGATATTCTAATAATTAACATACATCAATTATTAAATCGTTATTTTGAAATCTTAAATTACACTGTAGTTCTAAAATGTATTGCAGTAAATATATCTACTTACCTCTATAGTTTGTGTATAGCAATTTAATATTGAACACACGCAAAATGTGTCATTTTAATACACCTTTGATTTACAGTGTACACTGCAAATATCAGTATCATGGTTTTTAGAGCAAGTTTTAGTTAGAATTCTGCTGCCAAAAATTATCAATAATTACCTAGAAGTGAAATTAATTGTAGAATAGTAATGAATGAACGAAAAAATTCATTCAATTTGAGACAAGAGCTAAGACGTGTACTGAGAAAAGTAATACATCTCCGCGAACCAACCATGATGGATAGCTGAAGCAATGGGAAACTATCTGTCACGCATAATATCGACCCCAGAACCTTACCATTGAACCCTTGATGCTCCAACTCTGCTTCTAAGTCAGAACAGTATACTTCTATGTTGGGAATTTTTAAACAAAATTTACTTAATCAATAATACAATTTTTTTTTTTTTTTTTTAATTTTATTAAAATAATCTTTAGTACATTGCTTACATATCTTACAATATTTTTATTTTTTACATCTAACTTATGATCAAAATAATTATTCATCTAAAATAATTAGTATTAATCTCCTAAGATAATTTCGTTCATCGTATGATGTATTTTCAACATCTACAATTATCTATGTTTGTACTTGATAGGTAACTCAATACTTGATGTTTTGATTAAAGATAGTTATCGATTGAGCAAATATTAATGATAAATTGACAAGTTTTTGTTTTGAAAGATGCAAGGTTTTGTTGTTGAAATATAATTTAAAATTGATACAAAACAGGTAAATATTTAGGAAAATTCAAATAGAAAAGAATCCAGAAATGCATCATGTTTCGGACTTATAACATGGACTAGTATGACTTATGTGATAATTTTTAGAAGAATAATGTAGTTTTGGCTATAACTTGAAAAATATCTGTTAAAATATATTTTTTATTTACAAAGCATTCATAATATCATCTATGATTTTTATAGTTTAGATATTCATTTTTATATGAGAAAGATTTATGAGATATCATTATTCAATACTATCAGTCATGAAATATATTTTATATTGGAGATTTCTATAACACTTCATTACGTACTAACAGGAACTATCTTTTGCTTTATATTTATAACAATTAGATATGATTAGTTCAGTCATTCTTGAATATCTATCAAACATTGACAATGCATTTAATCATTCTAATTAATCGAAATTTATTAGGAGCTTTTATTCTATATACAAAACTTCCGATTGCATTTTTTAGTAAATAACAATTCTGATAATTGTCTCAAAGAAGTTTTGTTCGTTAAGAAATTTATTAGATGTAAAGCAATGATTTATACAATTACTCGATCGTTTTTTAATGTTAAAATTGATTGCAGTTAATTAAATGTCACAGTTATTATTTTAAAAAAGTTTTTAAAAATTAAATAAATTAAAGATCTAGCAATCAATAATGCGCTGATAAAATTAAACTTTCATGAAGCTGAAGGTGTTTAAACGAAAAAATATGGCGAAAATTAACCAGACATATGGATGGTACTGTCAAGAACAAGAGATATATTCAGCCATCTTCATCCAGTTTGTACCAGCGCAGCTGCACAACGCAGTCCCTATTTTTTTTCTAAATTTCTTTATGTTTCAAGTTTCGTTTAATGATATTTTTGACTTTAACATTGCATTTAAAATATAATTATAAATATGCATAAAAAATTTCTATAGAAAAAGTTCTTTTTTTACATAAAAATATTAATAATAATTAATACTAACAAAAAAAATTGATAAATTTTATTTCAATTATTTTTAAAAATAATTTTCATTCATAATTCACAGATACGTCGCAAATCATAGTAATTCATTTGAATGAACGTGTATTAGAATATGAATATCCACTCAATTAACATTTTAATTAATTTTTACAAATTTTAAATTTTATTAAAATGATAAAAATTCACTTCAATGTTAATCAAGTAGATGATATCATTCTAAAATACTTTTAAGTTATTGAAAAAAAATATGATTTGCAGTGTATAAATAATATTTTAAATAACAGAAATCAAATGTAAAGTAATACATTTTTGTAGCTGTGTTAAGAATTTACCGGAAATTAAGCTTATTTTTGTCATTCATAAATTTATAAGAATAATTTATTTGGTCAAAATATTTTAAAAATGACTTGCACGGAGCCCTTGTTCGTATTTGTAGTTTCATTCAGAGAAAGCGATCACGATAATGTCGTGCAAAATTCTGATGTAAAAGAAATGGGCTTGAAATACCTGGCGTGGGTTCGCTCCTGACCGCTCAAACAATTTAGTCATAAATTATGAAGGTTGTTTATGACCATCTGCTCCATCTTATGCTGGACACTTTGCATTTTAAGTTCACGATTCAGTACCTTGATTTAAGTTGAGTTGTTGCACTAAGGTGGGCAAGTTTTGTTGTTGGAAATGATTTTGATTTGAGTACAGATGTCCTCGTTGATACGGATGATGATAGTTAGGATAAGAAGCATGCAAGTGCTGTTGTTGGTGCTGCTGATGAAGGTTATGAATAATTGGAGGTTGTGATACGGAATTCGTGGGATTAATCGGCAAATCATTGAGTGGTGGTGGAGCAGTTGAATGAGATGGTGTTATCATTGGATAGTTTGTCGGTTGACGTCGATTTGGAGATCGTCTTCCATCTCTGGCAGGAAATTCTAAACCTAGTCCAGTTATTTTTCTGTCCTTTTTTGCCTTCATCCTCCGGTTCTGAAACCAAATTTTTATTTGACGCTCAGAGAGGGTCAGTGCCTGAGATATCTCTAACCTTCTCCGTCTAGTCAAGTATTTGTTGAAATGGAATTCTTTCTCCAATTCTAAAGTTTGGAAGCGTGTATACGTTTGTCTTGTTCGTTTTTGTCCAGGAGCTGCAGCATCTGTTGGAAAAATAAATAAATACTGATTAATTGTTGTTGAAATAATGAATTGTAAGGAAATATTTTAATCATTAAATAAATTGTTTAGCTACTGGGAGTCAAAACGACCATTTAAACCAATATATTAATTTTAATCATCATTTTCAATCAAAACTATAGATTGACTTAAATTTATCTTCAACTATAGTTAGCTTTATTGATGTTTATCGAAATAATTTTTTACCGTTTGAATAGTTAGACTTCATCCAAGGATAATCGATGGCAGGAGCTGGTGGCTGCTCTTCTTTAGTTTCTAAGGGTTCAGTCTTCATTTCATCACTATCATTCATGATATCAAAAGGACCTCCATACTCAGAAGTCACATTATCAAAACAAGTTGTAGTAGATGAAGAATTAGTGTTCATCAAAGCTCCACAATTGCCACTATTTCTCATCTGAGGTGAGTAATTGGCATAAGATGGTGTATAGTTAACCTCTTCAGCTTCCGACGATTTTTGTAATGGCGCGTACTGCCCTTGTGATGATAAAGATGACGCATAGGAATGATTCAGTGGAGACGTTCTTTCTGGCGATGGCGGTGTGTATGGAGGAGTGTGACAAGAAATAGCTGAAGATGTTGGCAAACCAGGACTTGGTTTCCTAACTGAACTTGCGTATTTTTCACTGATGGCATCCTTTCCATGACGTAAAATCGATTCGAGAAGACTCGTTGGTGGGAGCACATTCACAGAAATCTCACCTGAAGTGTAGTTTGGAGGACTTTGTTGATAGATTGGATAATTCTGCCGCATTTGGTGACATGTTGATATAGAATTAAATGGTTCCGTATTGCAGACATCATTGAATTGATGATAAGGCCAAAACCCAGTTTCATTGTTAGAATAATAGACTGAACTAGCCATTATGATTCACTTATTGATCACTTTTCAACAATTAATAACAAGAGCCACAACACTTGAACACCAATTTCAACAATTCAGCTGTTTTTTCCTATTAAATTATTCGTATTTTTAAGCAAAATAGTCAACGATATAGTTGGCACTTAAATGTGATCACTAGTCGCACGTCACTGCACTTCTGAAAACGTTAGCTGTTGCCGGGTCCTTGCGAAGGGTACCGGTAAGTGAAGCAAAATGATTTGTGCGACCCAGTGACGATTTCGTTAGCCAATCCAGGAGGGACGAGTCTGCAGTTGAATACAATGTGAGACAGGGGTTGCTACGCGTGCCAATGGGTCCCCAAAACTTTCACCAGTTTATTGTAGTTGAGACCCTACTGAGGTAGAGGGGACATGACTAACCCCCCATACAACGTACCCCGCCAGGTTTCAGGGGTGCTCCTATCAGCTGTTGCAAAAGAAAAATCTATCTGTGTTGGACCATAGATTTAAGCTACCACTCGAAATTCGCATCAATACTGCACACATACAAGTAAATCTTATCCCCCCTTCTTATTATCACAATTGAGATTCAGGCGTCCATTCCCAAAAATGAATGAAACTTTTAGATGTAAAATATTATCTCATTTGCTGATTTTCTAGGCTATTATTAGTTATTTATTCTTCTTGTAACAACTAAATTGTCTTCTTATTGATTAGTTTACTCTAATAAATAAATTATTGGAATTAGAGTAAATATTTGCAAATCGAAATTGGGAATTTCTTTGATGAGTTTAGAGGAATAATATGAGATACAGAAATTTTTAAAATTAGTCCATAGTCGTAGACGCAGTACATCTGAAGTAGGAATAGGTTTATGGAATACAGAACAAAGAGATATTTCTGGATTGTGAACAAAGTAAACAAAGCGCGTGGTAGAGCTAGATGTAGGCAGTCTTGCAAGTGACGTCTCTTTCTAGAACTTCACTAGTGTCGATTAATCAACCCCCTCTCCTTGCTATTCCATTCTTCATCTCCTTCTATTTCTTACGTGTTATACACATGCATTTAGCATGAGCTACTTCTTTCTCCTTTTTCTTTTACTCGTCTTTTATGTATTTTCATCAATTTCACTTCTTTAGTCGTTTATTTTAATATATTTTCATATGAAAAGAACCAGGGTACCAGCTTCAGCGAGAACCGAATCAAGTTATAAGTTGATAAATGTAAAGATTTTTAGAAGAAAAATCATCCATTTGAATAAAATTCAATCAATAAAAAATTTGATTTTATCGATAAACATTTTGATAAATTTGTTAAATAGAATTTTTTGCAAATTTTTGTGTGGAATTGGAATAAATATTATTTTGTTTTATTTGATAAGGAAAATCAATGTTGTACTTAGTAAGAACATTCACAGAAATGAGAAGGAATTCGAAATAATTAACTCACCAACCTGAGTTAAAGTGTTAAACACAATAATCACGGAACATAAATAGTTTTTAAGGTTTAAACTGCAGTCCCCTGCTAGCACTATTACTGTACCGTATACATCAGGAGAATGATTAATGATAGAATTCAATAAGTGTGAAGTCTGTGGATTAATAATTATGATCTATTATTTTCACTACATAGGACATAAATGTATATTTATATCTGATATACAGGAAAGAAATATTCCAAATATTTATTTATAAAAGAAAGAAAATTCTTGTTAATGTGATAATTACCATATTCAGTAGTCATAGACTTGCGTTATATTTATCGAGGAAATTTTTTGTACAATTGTACAATGTACAAATCGATGTGGACAGTTTTTATAAGATATTGTATAGTAGATTTTTGGAAATGGATGATGATCATAAATAATGACTTGAGATCGGAAAGTGATCTCTGTGGGAAATAAGAATAGAGATGAAGAATAAAATAGCAAATGTAACTGAAGGAGAAGACACAAAAGAATAAACCCTCATGTAGGGTACTGAGCTTTGAGAGTATGGCTAAAACGATAAATTATTTCTAATACTAACTTTAATTCCTTAGTCAGATAATTATTGCTCTTGAGAATATTTTTTGATTGATTCTTACAATTAATGCCTTTACACGATATCATACTTTGTTTATATTTTGATTTTTGCATTTGAAACTTCCTCATTTCATCAAGATTAACAGAATAGAAACATGAAGCTTTCAATATAATTAGTTGATTTTCATTTGTTTCTCTATTTACATTAGTGAAAGGTTAGCTTATTTAAATACATGACTACTTGACTTCATAAACAAATAATTACTTTATCAATAAAGATTTGTTATTATTTTGAATATTACAGTGATAATTGAATTATCATTACAATGAATAATTTAAGATTAGACAAAATTAATTTATTTAATTATTTGTAAACTAATAACAAATATATTAATGACCCTTATTAACAATTATAATAAACAAAAATTATTTAATAAATAATCGAAAGATACAAAAATGTTTTTAGAAAGACTGAAGCAAAACTTTTTTTTTGTTAATACGAATTTTTTTTTTCAAATGCTAAAAATAAAGATAGTTGGATAATCTGTAGTATGCTGACAAAGTATATTTACATTTTCGTTTAAAGCAATAAAATTTGAAAAAAGGGAAAAGATGGAAAATTTTTTATTTATTAGGTGCCATAAACGACGTACTACACCTGAAATGTAAACCATAAAAACTGTTAGACACAGTAGAAACAGTTGATATTTTATGGGCCTACCTTTCCAGCACCCTGAGTTATTGTATTGCCTTCCATGACTAAGAAGTAAAAAAGACACGTGCAGCCACGTGCCCGTTACATCTTCACGCCATCGTTATGTTAATTTTTATATTTACTGTCGTTCGTTTGAGAAACAAAATTATTAAGGCCTGTATCACGCCAGAAGTTGCGAAGATGTTCGAGCACATCTACTTTTTCTACCTTTGGTGGGAATTTTGCTGCTTAACCTGTGCTCTGTACATTCTGTTTCCCATTGATGGAAAAGTACAATAAGTGGTTGTAAAACTTTCACTTCCAACTCAACCTCGAGAGGTTCTGCCATAGGTCCAAGTTGCAAGAGATTAGAGAATTTGAAAGATTTATGCTTCCTCACAGGTAACAGCTCTAGCAAAGTATGCTTCTCATCGATGTACTGTTGGCAACATTGTTCATGTCTACTATAGATACCTTAGCATTCTTAACAATTTTACGTTGATTTGTTGTACTTATATTCTCAAAAAATAAAAAAAAAATTTTTTTTTCGTAAAAATTGTTGTTTACAAATGTATTAATGACCTGACCATCAGTTACAAAGTGAAACATTATTAGAAAAATTATTCGGATTGTATTTTTTTTAAAACATTTATTTTTGGAAAAAAAATCTCTTGAAAATAAACTAGAGAACAAATTTTCTAATTCAGCTGTACTGTGTCATATTTTTCAATTAATTTATGAGAATTCATAATTCAAATGTTATATTACAATTTTAATATGAACGTTGAGTAATTTAAATTAATTTAAGAATAGAAACAAATAAAATATTTAACATAGAATTGCGCAAATCCCAAAATATCGACATATGTGACACAAAAATACCCTGTTTGGTGCAAATAGAAAGAAGGGAGTACAGTCTACTAAAGAGGCGGTGTTTGAAGCCATTTGGAAAATTCAGTTCAAAATCAGACAAAAGAGAATTGTACTCTATATTGAATTCTTGATTTATATTTTATTTGCAATACGTCGCAAAGATTAATTTCATCGAACCCCTATGTGATCTATATAGATCCAAAAATAATATTGATGACACCGTCAATTTATACAATACCTTCAATGTCTAAAAAAATATGTAAAAATTACTTCATAAAAAAAATTAAAAATGAATGCCTTTTTCAGGAATAAAAAAAAATTTCAAAGAATCTTTTCAAATTAATAGTAATTTTTTTCCAATCCAAAACAGATATCTGCTAAAATAGACATCACTCTAGAATTCAGTGCATATTTATGTCATGTTGGGGTGTAGTTACAAGAAATCACAGGCGGTCTAAGGGCGGAGCATAGAAAGTGCTGATACATTGTTGTATACATAACCAATTTCGACTCAAATGGTGAACAGAGAATAGATGTGAGAAGATATAGGTATTATAATCCGTTCAAAATTCTGTTAGCAATAGGTTCATTTAAAAACAAATACTACGGGTACTTGTCTCTCTATCTTAACTGTATCTAATTTTCTTTAACAATTCAATCCTTAAATTTTGGGTTCGAGCACACTTTCCAATAGCTGCTGGTCAGTTGAATGCTCAAGTTATACCTAACAGTTAGGACTCAACTCTTTGTTTTTACCGACAATAAATTATCCGAGTTCAAATATTTCCTGCTACAGTGACATGAATGGTAACAGAATTGTTCATTTTAGAACTTCCGGTTAAAACTTTGACAAGTGAGAGAAATACTTGAAAGGATTATTTACTTATTTTCAATTTAAATGTGACCTTGAGTTAAACCTAACTGTTTCAATATTGACCCTTAGATTTCACAATTCTTTGGTGCTCTTCAGAAGAATTGTTCTCATGTTAGAAACTCACAAATAGAAAAATACAAGAAAGTTTACTTGGAAAGGATTGAATACTTTGAGAGAGGGATTAATGAATCAATTATTATTAGTATACTTTTCAATTAATATTTAACCATTTACCATTCACCTTGCGATTTTTCTTATTAAATCTATAGCATAAATACTGTACATTACAGTCTATGGATACTGTCTGCTTAATTCTACCATCTACATCTACAGTGCTAGTTTGTAGCTCAACGTATTTCCATTCTGTTGCATTTATGAACTGACTTACTGAATTTGTTACATCTACAAACCTTTTCTCGAGACTTCATAGAAACTGAGGCTGTTGCAAACAGACACTCACGACCTATTGTGAAAGCTACACTTATTTTTTTCTTGTGAAAAAAAATTTTTGTTACTAGAAAATAGAAAATTATTCTGAATAGGTATTAGAATTGACGAAAAAAATAATAATGAAGTCTAAAATAGTTTTTAAATGATATTGCAAGCAAACTAAAATCGCAAGTAGATTGTGGTGATATGAGTGGTATGAAATTTAGGGACCACTAAGATATGAATGTGGTCGATTGACAGTTCTCGCAATGATGAACGATGTTTCGTTCTTTCAGTGCTCAATTCTATACGTCCCTACTCTCACCCCTTACTGAATCATATAGCCCCTTGCGATGATAGAGAGAAAAGAAAATATAAACGATCTATATGTGCATGGAATAGATAAAAGATTGAGTAAGAAAAATTACAGAAAAAATTAAAAATAGATATTAACGATAATACAAAAATC